TTATTTATATGTTCAAGCGGTTAGTTGAATCAGAAAAATGACCCAATTCCCCCATCCACATATCAAGGTGGATAGGGGAATCCCTCCCACTGAGCTACTGTGTTTTCATTTAAGTGCAGCTTTGCATGACCACGCAACTGTCAGTTAAAGTAATGCAGCGCCGTATCGCAAAAAATGGCCTGGTCAGGAAGGGGGGTAAATCCTCTTGAGGGCAAGTGGTTAAGGGCATCGTGAACCTTTGTTGATTGAGCTATGCAGGACATGGTCTCACGAAAATAACAACTAAACAAGAGAGAGACCGCTTCTAGAATTTAGTCTATTGTGTTAAACATTTCATTCGTTGGTGATGCAGTTTCTTTAAGTGTATTAACACTTACTCTTAAAGGTTTAAATAGATTAGGTCAGTGACCTTTGACTCAGTAAGTAGCTAAACATGAAACTGTAACAAAAAAACTATGCTTAATAAAAGAAATGGCATGTAATAGGCAGTGGATATGCTATGAAATGTTAGCTATACTGTACATGCATATCTTTATGAAGCATACATTGCTTTCAAACCTTCACATCCTGCACATTTTGTGGTGCAGTGTTTTTATTTGTCTAGTGCTCCTTCAGAGTAAAAAGGGTGGGCAGCATCTGGAAGGTGAAGGCATGGGGATGAGTGTCGGGCTAGCTCATAGTTAAAGTGATATTATTATTATTATTATACAGGATTTATATAGTGCCAACAGTTTGCTTAGCACTTTACAATATAACGGAAGACAATACAGCAACAATACAGTTCAATACAAGAGGGATAAGAGGGCCCTGCTCCTTGAAGCTTACAATCTAGGAGATAAAGCTAAAAACATTTTTTTACCTTAATGCATTCCTTGCATTAAGGTAAAAAACATGTATTATTCCTCTGTCTTCCCCCTTCCTTGTGTGCTGTGCACAGCTGTTTCTATTCTCCCCTCTCTTCCTCTTCTCACAGTGCTCGAGCAGCTATTGGCTCCTGCTGCTGTCAATCAAATGCAGTTAGGAAGTAGGGGTGGGGCTAAGTACCACTATGTGTGATACACAGCTCAACAGCGAGCAGACACTGTGTGCCTCCATAGCAAACGTTTTGCTATGGGGACACACACAGTAGTGGGGGAGCCAAAATCACCAGCAGGGGACCCGAGAAGAGAAGGTTCAGGGATGCTCTGTGCAACATCACTGAACAGAGCAGGTGAGTAGAAGATGTTTGTTATTTTAATTTAAACATTTTTTTTTTTTACTTTAGTAACACTTTAACAATGGCCAGCCTGTTGCTATTGTCACTGTGTTACTATGCAAAAGCACAAGAGCTAGTAAACACATAAGTTCTTTATTGGCCATTCATTCTTTATGTTATTTATGCAGACACCCGCTAGCCCATGTTACCATGACCATGCAGGAGAACAGAGGATGAAAACAAATGCCGGCCCCGCACTGGCCAGTCAGCTGGAAGACCCATCAATGTTTTATAAAGATATGGATATCTTGCAACATATCATCTGCTACGCACAATTGTCCTTTAGGCCAGATTCATCTGTCTGTGACTGCGTTTGTCTGTTTTTAAGTGATTCTAAAGGTTCAAGGTTTTTTACCTTCATGCAATCTGTACATGACGGTAAAAGCCTTCTGTGTGCAGCAGCTCCCCCAGCCCCCCCCCCAATACTCACCCAAGCACCCTCTCAATCCAGCGATGTGCACTGGAGTCTCGGCTATCCCAGGACTCCCTCTTCTCAATGGCTGAGACAGAAGCAGGAGCTGTCAATCACAGCCAGTGAGCCAATGAGAAGATATAGGGGGCGGGACTGAGCAGCGGCTTCGTGTGTGAATGGACACACGGACCAGCGGGTACCCCCATAGCAGGCTGCTTGTTGTGGTTGAACCCGACAGGAGGGGGCCAGGAGTGCATGCGGGGGACCTGTGTGCAAAACCACTGCACCCAGCAGATAAGTATAGACATGTTTGTTATTTTTTTCTTTAAAAAAACAATTCTTTAGAATCTCTATAATGTATGGTGTAGTGTGTTTACACTTGTTTTCATTATTATGCATCGCAGCACATATAAAAAGCCCAGAAAAATGAACACACCTCATTTTTCAAACCGCATTGTACAGTAGAGATCTGAATAGGCTTGTTGAATAACATTGCTTCTCATGTCATGTGTTTTTGTTTTGCTTTAAAATGCATGAAATGTTAAAAGGGTCTTAAAAATAATCGGATCAAAGCATTACAGAGAACTGTGAACACCAGAGGTTCAAAATAGCAATAAATAAAGACACAGCACTTTAATGACAAATGCATTGATAATGCAACACTGTTACAAGAATTTCCAGTAAATATGTGGTGGTGGACCATTTGTTATTTACTTGTTTGTAGTGCAGGTAATACAATTTAACACAATTGGTTTTTAAACTATTTTCTGGATCTAAAGTCAAAGACCCTGTGTATTTAAACTCATAAGCTGGCTATACATGGATTTGGTTAGTTCAGCAGGGACCAGAGGAATTTTGATCCATGTTTATGGGCAGAGAGGTTGTACAGAAGTTGATCTACTAATTGACTTCTGTCCAACAGCCCTGTTGGATTTTCCCCGCTTGATCAGCACCTCCAGTGGCACTGATCCGTGTATTCTGATGGTAGGGAAGTCTGTCAGAATACAATAGCTCAGAGGAGGGGATTCCCTCATCCACATTAAGTGTGTACATGGGGAGATTGAGTAACTTTTTTAGGTTCAACTCGCTGGTTGAACAAAAAAAAAGATACTTATCTATGGGTTGCCTTAGTGTATAATTATATTTGTAAGGCTAAGTTCACACTAGTGCAATTTCAGATGCGACTTGAGCCGCACAGAATTGAATGACAATGGAAATCACATTGTTTTTAATGGTGCCTGTTCACATCAATGCAACTCAGCATCATGCCATTTTGAAAAAGGTTCCTGGCTTACTTTGGTGTGATTCCAATGCAATTTTGTCCCCATAGAATGTGAAACCACATACAGGTTGCTCTACATAATCACACTGAAAATCGGATCAAAATTGAATTACAACAATGTGAACCTAGCCTAAATATTTGAAGTAAATTATATTTGATGAGTAGTGTGCTGCTCTTTATTTTCAGACACTGACCGTTGGAATACCTCTGATCAGTAATAGTTGCATGGAATATATAATTAATAATACTTTCTAGCCATACTCTGTACCTCAAATATTACATTTATCAGTATTCTAAAAGCAAATTCCTACCAACAACAGATTTTTTTTTTGGCGGGGGGAGGGGCTACTGATTCAATTGAATGAGCTGTTAACACAATCATAATCTTTAAATACTGTAACGGGCAATTATGGTGTTGAGAGGTGTAGAAATGGTATAATTTAGTTTGTGAATACATCAGCATCAGAATTCAGGCAGAATACATACCTGCTATTATCTTTTTAACACCAATGCAATTTATTTTTTTTATCACAGCTACAAAATATTACAAAAATTTCCCATATGCTTTTATAAATAAGTAGCAAAACTGTGTTTTTTTCACATTCACAAAGAAGAAAGCATTTTATAAATACAACTGAGCCCCACTAAATGTTTGTTTAGCCATCATACTGAATAGTTTTTTTTATCTTAGCAAATTCTGGTGCAACCCATGTGTTGGTTTAATATGTTTTTTTTTTTTAATTCAAAAATTTTCTTTTCATATTATTTTTACTGCAAATGTATATGCAAGTTCAGGAGTAAAATAGCACTAAAAACATCTGTATGTCGCTTCAAATTGTAATAACACTGATAATGGAACTAATGTGCCATCCAACACGAACCAGGATTTGTTAAATTAATCAATAGAGTATAAACACCAGTTTTAGTTTCACACAGCCAAATGGTTTCTGTTTTCAATTTTTGAACAGGGGTTGGAATGATGATAAACTAAGGTTACAGCTTCACTTTTCAATAAATTCCAACAGTATATTGCTGCATTCAGTGCGAATAATAGAGACATATGTGATCAGTGCTAGTAATAGAGAGAACAATGTTTTGTCTTAGCAAGGGGAACTGGTAAACCACAAAGTGCTAGACACTTTCAGCAGACCACGCACCATAAATGCTTCCTTCTAGCAAACATGAAAAGAATGGGGTCATGCGGAGGGTTTTCTATTTTACAAATATTATCTACACTAGCGAGTCTGCTCTACTGAAGCCACCAGAATAAGAAGTACCTGTTCTACTAGAGTATACTTTACACTAATCCGCAGACGTAAGGTCTGCTCTACACGAACCACCACATTGGAGTGGAGGATTACGCTACACTACTAAAACTGGAGGGGTTTCCTGTACATTAAACATCAGAGAGGGCTCTATCACACTGGAAATAAAACTGGGGCAGCGGCATACCACATCATTTCTCTTGGTAGTCTTGCATGATATAACTTATTTTAATTGCTACTAAAAACACAACACACCTATGGCTGAGGTAAGTGACACACAGGGAAAAAATTGTGCAACGTTGGGCGCATGAATGGCAATTTGCATACATCGCGTATGGCATATTTAATTTTGTTACCTACACTTTCACTGTATTGAACACTGTTCTATATAGATCATTCTTACAGTACAGTATTAATCAATGAGTATGCCTTTACAGAATATATGTGCACTTGTGATTTCTCTTAAACCTGCTTTGTTTTATAGCCCTGTAGATTGATCAACATTTTCCCTGATTTGCTTCAATACAGTTGTTCCATTTTGTAACTACAATTATGTTACCAGGGTGCTACAACATAGTAACTGCATCACACACTGTCTGTAGTGCTTTTATCCCTGCCACTCCAATGAATGGGCACTACTAAAGTAAAAGTACTGTATGTTATATAATACATGAGAAGCTATTTTTTTTTATTTTAGTTTGATACTGTGTTTGTGTTTAATCTATTGGTTAACTTAAAGTCACGTTATACTAATATTATACTTAATGTGTGTGTCACAAAACCACATTAAAGAATAGTACAAAAGAATTTCTTCTCCCTAAATGGGTTTTCTGAGGCAGGCACTGGAAGTATAAGTGGATCTTCTCGGACATGGGCGTCGCAATAGGCCATCAAATCTGCTGCAGCTTTGGATATCTGAAAAAGAAAAAAACAAATCTTGGTCAGCTGTCACTGAAAGAAATATATCTTTGTCAGCTATCACTGGGAACAAATGCTGTCATTTTTTTAAAAGTACACCCATCACCCATCCTATAATGGGGTTCAGATTTAAGTGGAAGTAGAATAAATCCACTTCAGCTCTGGAAAGGTTTTACCCCCTTCATGACTAGGCCATTTTTTGCTATTTAGCACTGCACAACTTCAACTGGTAATTGTGAGGTCTTGCAACGTTGTACCCAAACAAAACTTATATCACATTTTTCATACAAAAAGAACTTTCTTTTGGTGGTATTTGATCACCACTGAGTTTTTTTAAATTTTTTTATTATGTAAACGAACAAAGGCCGAAAATCCCAATAAGTGTATATTGATTGTTTTTTGTGAAAGTTATATTGTCTACAAACTATGGTATACAGTGAAGGAAATAAGAATTTGATCCCCTGCTGATTTTGAATGTTTGCCCACTCACAAAGAAATGATCAGGCTAAAAATCGAATGGTAGGTGTATTGTAACACAGAGACAGAATAGCAAAAAAAAATTCAAAAGAAATGTCTAACAAATTATGCACTGATTTGTATGTTCATGTGGGAAATAACTATTTGATCCCCTATCATTCAGCAGGATTTCTGGCTGCCAGGTGTCTTTCATACAGGTAACAAGCTGAGATTAGAAGCATTCTCTTAAAAAAGAGTGCTGCTAATCTTATGTTGTTACCTGTATAAAAGACACCTGTCCACAGGAGCAATCAAACAATCAGATTCCAAACTCTCCACCAAGGATGTCAGGGACAAGATTATAGACCTACACAAGGCTGGACTGGGCTACCAAACTATTGCCAAGCAGCTTGGTGAGAAGGTGACAACAGTTGGTGCAATCATTCGCAAATGGAAGAAACACAAAACAACTGTCAGTCTCCCTAGGTCTGGTGCAGCATGCAAGAACTCACCTCGTGGAGTGTCAATGATCATGAGAACATTGAGGAATCATCCCAGAACTACACATGAGGATCTTGTCATTCGATTTTCAGACTGATCACTTCTTTGTGAGTGGGCAAACATTCAAAATCAGCAGGGGATCAAATACTTATTTCCTTCAATGTATACACTGCAATTTTCATTTATTCTTTTCTACTAGTAATAGCGGTGATCAGCGACTGTGGTAGCGTGGGAGGCAATCTGATGCTAAATGACACTGACATCACCAGTGACACAAATACAGTGATCAGTGATACTATACACTGTCCGGGAAGAGGTTAAAATCTCGGTGTAATCAAGGGGTTAAGTGTGTGCCTAACAAGTGTTAATTTGTGTATTATGTGCTGCTTTCTGGGCTGTGATTGGATCCAGCTGATCAGCAAGTCCCGGCCACGAATCATTGGGCGGGACCTGAAGACAAAATCCAGCTGTATACAATCACAGCAAGAGTCAGCAGGAGGGGCGCGTGCATTTGCCCTATACCTGAAAGAGGTCAGTGAAGCACAGGTATGTTACTGTACCTTATGGGCCACCCATCCAGAATACATCGCCGGAAGGCGTTCCCGAAGTGGATATGATGATCTGATCATTTATTGCTGTATGCATGGCCAGAATGACAGCTGGGCCGTCAAGCGTCTGACCTCATACTAGTAAACATTTGAGTTGGAGTATGAAAAGCCTCAGCAAAATAATTCCTGTTGACCAAAGCAACCAGCCAGCCTCCAACTGTAATTTTTACTGACTAATTATGAAACTGAAATACATTCTGAGTATGGGCAACACAATTTGCACACATCAGCCCCATTGTCTCCCCAATGTGCATAAACCAATATTGGTCTCTGCGTTAACCAGTTATGGTTACTTGGAAAGAGTTATGCCAGTTGACAGGGCACAACCACCAGACCTCAGGGGACTTCTCAGCTCAGATTTAGTTCTAGGAGTCATCCTAAGTTAAAATTAGTAAGGCTAAAAATTAAAGAGCTAATATACAGCCATCACAATCATAAGGTTACATTTTCACTTTCTCAGATAAGCTCTGTTGTGACTGGTTCACTTTTGTTGTTTCCTATGTAAGCAGACAGCTGTACTTTAATACAAATTGTAGGTAACAATTTTACGGTCATCGGCATCTTTCCCTATATTTATATAGCACTGACATATTATGCAACACCTAACAGAGTATATAGAAGCAGAAACATACAGTAAGTATCTTTCCCCAGAGGAATGTGCAATCTAATGTCCCCCCACATGCACATATGGCCAATTTGTAGAAGTAAATGTCACACAAACATGTGAAGAACATACAAACACCTTGTACACAGTGTATGGGTGAAATTTAAACACAGAACCTTAAAGTGTATGTTACCCCAACATTTCATATTCTAGACATGTCTGTACTTATGTTAAAATGTATACTGTTCTCTTTGTATTACTTCCTTTGTGTGAAATACCTACACCATATAAAATTAAAGCCCAACTCCAAACCAGATATTTGGGGGGTTTAGAGAGACTTGGAAAAAGTAAAAATGTGTCTCATCTGTGAGGGCCGGTTCACATACACTATATTGCCAAAAATATTGGGATGCCTGCCTTTACATGCACATGAATTTTAATGGCATCCCAGTCTTTGGCTGGCCATACACTATACAATTTTCTGTTCAATTTCTGCCCAATTTTCTTTAGATTTACCTTCAACTATGTAGTGTAAGAGCCCACCTAATTGGATACAGTTGAAAGTGTTGTTAGTTTTGACCTCCTATTATATGGTTTTTGGTAAATCTAAACCAAAAATCTCAAGAAAATTGTATGGCCAGCCTTAGTCTGTAGAGTTCAATATGGAGTTGGCCCACCCTTTGCAGCTATAACAGCTTCAGCTCCTCTGGGAAGGCTGTCCAAAAAAGTTTAGGAGTGTGTCTATGGGAATGTTTGACCATTCTTCCAGAAGCACATTTGTAAGGTCAGGCACTGATGTCGGACGAGAAGGCCTGGCTCGCAGTCTCTGCTCCAATTCATCTCAAAAGAGTTCTATCGGGTTGAAGTCAGGGCTCTCTGCAGGCCAGTCAAGTTCCTCAACCCCAAACATGCACATCCATGTCTTTATGGACCTTGCTTTGTGTACTGGTGCACAGTCATGTTGGAACAGGAAGGGGCCATCCTCAAACTGTCACCAAACATCCATTATCTCCTGCGCTCAAAGATTCAGATCAAACAAACATTAATAACAAACAGTGTGTTCATCCACTGGTGATCAAAGATTGTGCAGCTCTATCATGAAGCTGGGGAAGCTCGATAAAACTGTGTTAAACAGGCTGAAATAATGTAATACTGACACTCAGTGGCTGAATGTCTCCTTGCTATGGGAACTCTGCCAACTATGTAGTGCAAGAGCCCACCTAATTGGATACAGTTGAAAGTGTTGTTAGTTTTGACCTATTATATGGTTTTTGGTAAATCTAAACCAAAAATCTCAAGAAAATTGTATGGCCAGCCTTAGTCTGTAGAGTTCAATATGGAGTTGGCCCACCCTTTGCAGCTATAACAGCTTCAGCTCCTCTGGGAAGGCTGTCCAAAAAGTTTAGGAGTGTGTCTATGGGAATGTTTGACCATTCTTCCAGAAGCACATTTGTAAGGTCAGGCACTGATGTCGGACGAGAAGGCCTGGCTCGCAGTCTCTGCTCCAATTTATCTCAAAGGTGTTCTATCGAGTTGAAGTCAGGACTCTGTGCAGGCCAATCAAGTTCCACCACCCCAAACTCCTTCATCCATGTCTTTATGGACCTTGCTTTGTGCACTGGTACGCAGTCATGTTGGAACAGGAAGGGGCCATCCCCAAGCTGTTCTCATAAAGTTGGAAACATGAAGTTGTCCAAAATGTCTTCATATGCTGATGCCTTAAGAGTTCCCTTCACTGGAACTAAGGTGCATATTACAGGCTTATTGACGTCTCTGGGAACAGCTTCTGAATCGCACATGTCATGAGTTTGTGAACATGGTTTCAGGACAGTTTTTCTTTCTTCAAACCTTGACCTGAACCACTGAATGACTGCTTTTCAATTCTCACTGAAACCTGAGCTTTCAGGCTGCATCACACATATATGAATTGGCACCAAGGTTGACACCAAGACAAGAAGTCACAAGCAAATAATAGCCTTACAAAAGCTCTGTTATCCGTTTTACTGGAAAATGTGTTTTCTTGCAGTTTGTGGAAAATGGAAGACCCAGCTGTACACCAAATGATATTAGCAATCTAGTTTCAACAATAAGGGTGCTGTAGTGATTAGACGGATGGCACCATCAGCTTTGAACAACAGAACACGTATCATCAATACATCACCAGTGCAACCCCTAATTCTATGCAGACATTGCCTAATGAGTGGTGGAACCTCTATGGCCCAAAAATGTTGAACATTGCTTCTACTGGTCTCAATACAATATTGTTACATTTATTTTATTATTTATTTATTTATTTCAGGTACTTATATAGCGCCTTCAATTTACGCAGCACTTTACATATATATTATACATTCACATCAGTCCCTAACCCTCAAGGGGTGTACAATCTAAGGTCCCTAGCTTACAATCATATGTACACATACTGGGACAATTTAGACAGGATCCAATTCACCTACCAGCATGTCTTTGGAGTGTGGGAGGAAACCGGAGTACCCGGAGGAAACCCACGCAGGCACGGGGAGAACATGCAAACTCTAGGCAGGAGTTGCCATGGCTGGGATTCGAACCAACAACCCTAGTACTGCCAGGTGGAAGTGTTAACCATTTAGCCACTGTGCTGCCCATTTCAAGGCAAATTTGTCTTTAATAAGTTTTACAACAGAATATACAGAAAAGGGAAACATTGATAAATAACATAATATAAATAGTATACAACCAAGACATATATCTTAACAATCTATCCCATAAGAGGGCATGAAGAACATCAATACATGTCCAAGTAGAGTTCACCATATAAAACAAAACAAAGAAAAAAGGATAAAGAGAGA